TCAGACTGAAGAAGTCTCTTGGAGGAGAGACGAAACGTTTCATTAGAGAAGAACCCGTCCAGAARACCTATACAATTTTTTTCTTTTTACATTTAATAATAACTAATAAAACAAAGTAAAAGGTGGATATATGTGCAGCTTTATTTCTTCTCAAAGCATCAATGTTCATTGTGTTTCTTCTGTTTTTTTAACAACCTTGTGCGATGTTACCTTTTTTTTTGTTAAACATACATTGATGTAATCACCAATACTTTTGCACTTTTTTGCTTGCATTAACAAGTTGTTTCTTTACAGTTCTCAGATTCATCAGCAGATGTTTTAAAAAATATGATGCAAACATTGTTCAATCCAAGGAAATCTGTGAAAGCTGAAGAGCTGAAGGTTTTGCGGGAACTGTCAGCCATGTTCCAATTCTTAAGTAGACAATTGTTCAGAGTTCAGTTGTTTTTTTTTAATGAATGAGAACCTGCCAGACATTTTCTTCTACCTCGGATTTGGCATCTTTGAAAGTTACACTGTAAAAAATGAAATGTTGGATTTACTTAACCATGTTATGTGACCTGGTTCCACTTAACTGAGTTGAGTAAATTCAAAGCAATATGCTAGTTTTTTAACCAAAGAACATGAGCATGTTGCTTTGAATTTACTCAACTCAGTTCAGTGGAACCAGGTCACATAACATGGTTAAGTAAATCCAGCATTTCATTTTTAGAGTGCATGTTAGAAAAAGGTTTGGGATTGTGTGGTWTTCATTGTCTACTGGTGGTCATGTAATTGCCTGCATCTATGTGTGTATCTGTTTGACTGTTAGCAAAATATCACATGAACCACTGGATGGAGTCAACACTGTTCAAGATGGCAGCTGCATCTGCTCATCTTTACCTAACATAATAGTTGGCTAAACTCAGACAGTTTTACAGATATTGAGTTTGGTTTGGAAGCTCAGAGTCAGTCTCAGTGGATATTCTGTCTTCTAATGGATCAAGTCTTTGTTTTAAACTTTTATGTGCAAAGTGGCGGTGATGTTCATTGTGCTAGTTYATTTTGCTACCATGCCAGTCCTCTGCTCACATGTGACTTTAAAGAAATGTGTTCCAAACAATTAGAGTGAGGTTTAAAACTTCTAATTATTCTAACAGCTGCACGACAGACCTTCAGCTCAGTTTCCTCAGCTCAGTATCCTTCTCGTCTTGCCCATTAAAAGTCTAAAAACGAGAATTTGTGAAGAACACAACCTTCATTTTTTCTGACAGTGCTTCCTTTCTGAGCTGCACCAGAGTTAATAAGAACTTTGGTGTCTTTGTGGAAAATTTTAAAGGATAAAATTTACATCTTTGCCTTCGTCCACGCTTCATCTCCCTACTGAGTTCCAAGACATTTTACCTTCCAGTTGTTTTTTGTCATTTTTTATCAAATCAGGTTGTCACTCTGAAAGACGCTCACAAGGTTTGACAAAGTAAGTGAGGCTGATTCACTAAGAACATTTACCCTGAAAAAACATGTCTGTGAAGCAAAAACAGGCTTGGGAAGAAACGTTGACCTAAATATTTTTACACTCAGACATTTCTGTTCAGATACGAGGAACAATGTCATGTAATTATTATTATGTAATGTTATTTA